AAGACGGACGACGACGAGTTCAAGGAGGTGCCCATCCCGGAACAGTTCGTCTCCAAGTTCGACGGCGACAAGTGGACGACCGAGTGCATGGCCCACTCTGGCTAGCGTACAGGGAGGGGCGCCGGGGCCCCTTGCGGCGGGGCGACGGATGTGGACTACGCGGCCGGGGCTGCGGCTCGCCCCGGTCCTTTTACGTGTGCGGGGCCGGCAGGTGCGCTGAGGCGTGTGTTGTCAGCGTGCGCGGGGAGCCGGGCTCGTGGTGTGAGGCGCGCGAGGAGTAGCACTTGCGCCTGGGGCCCGGGGTGCGGGTTCGCGCGCGAGGCGAGGGGCAAAGAAAGCGTGTGCGTGCGCGCCTGGCGTCCTGCCGTGCGGCACTGTGACGCGCATGTCAGTTCTTGTGGCCGCGCGCGGCGACGCGATATAAAAATAATGATAATACGTGTGAGATAAAAAAACATAATAGAGAAGAGAGACGCCCCCCCGCGCGCCGCGGCGCGCGGGGCGCGGGCCGCATCCCGCATGCACATGCGTCATGTCTCTCGCTCGTCCGCCGTCGGCCCTGCGCGCGCAAACGTGTAATTGCGTCTAATAAAATTGAATTGAACACCCCCGGAGATTCCGCGAGAGAGAGACTCCCCAGCGAAACGTCAGTACGGCTACGAGATACATTTTGAAAGCATTGGCCACACCTCGGAAATATGGAAGCAAAAGAGAGAAAAGTGTCGTGGCCCACGCGCCCCGCCGCAAAAGTACTCGGCGACACATTCGCCGACCCCGCGCCCCACCCCCCGTTGGTGAGCTGGGGCGACGTGCGCCGACGTGCGGTCTGGCGCCGGCTCACCACCGGTCACCAGTTTTCGTGCCGCTGCGCCTGCACCTGCTTCTCGATCTGCTTGAGGAAGCGGAACGAGCGCGACGCCTCGGCGCCCTGCACCTGCGTCGGCAGCGCCCAGATCGAGTCTGCCGCGCCGACGAAGAGGGTGGAGAGGGAGCTGCCGCCGAAGCGGCCAAAGCAGACGCCGGTTGCGGGCGCGGGCGTGCTGATCACGAGGCTCTCCTCGCCCTGCTCGTCGAAGACGCGCACGCCCTCGTCGACGCAGACGTACAGGTTGCGCTGCGGGGGAGGGGAGGGGGCAAGCGAGCGGTGAGAGCGGCAACGTGCGAGAGGGGCGTCACGGGGCGACGGGTCGGCGCTGTCGATGGGCGGTGGGCCGAAGCACGAGAGGCAAGCGGCGAGGGGGACAGCGGCCGGTCCCGGGTGGCAAGGGGCACGCCTGCGCGTCTGTCGCGAGCGCCGCGGCGTCTGACGGCGCCGTCGAGACGAACGGCTCCGGCGAGGCGGCGAGCCTAGAAGGCACGTCCACGCCACGGCGCGTCCAGGACGTGTCCGCGACGTGTCCCACGCGGGCGGGGACGGGAGGGGTCTGCGAGCCTCGCTTCGGCGGTGAGCGGCGCGCGCAACACGGCGCCTGGGAGCGAGTCGGCAGGCGGAGTGAGCAGGCGTGAGCGGGCGTGAGAAGGGCGCCCGGGACGTGTCTGAGAGGCGTGGCGGAGGTGGCTGGGAGACGCGTGGGACGTGTCTGGGACTTGTGGGAGGCTTGTGGGAGGCGTCCCGCCTCCGGCAGCAAAGAAGAGCTCGTCCTCGGTCGATGAGACGCAGAGGGAGCGGAGGGGTCCGCCGAGGGCGCCGTCCGGGAGGAGCTCGAGCGCCTGCCACTCGGGGGGGCGCCCTCCGATCCCGCCCAGCCCCTCGAGCCCCTCGTCCTGCTCGAGCAGCAGCAGCCGGCCGCCGCCGGAAGCGAGCAGGAAGCGGCCGCTGCTCAGCGCGAGGAGGCCGCCCGCGCCGTCGGCGCCGGCGACGGAGAGGACCGGCGCCGAGCCGCCCGCGTCGAGGTCGCGCACCCACACCTCGCCGCCGCCCACCGCCGCGAGCTCCGCCGGCGCGGAGACGGCGTGCGTCTCGACCGGCGCCGCCGCCGCCGGCTGCAGCTGCTGCGGCGGCGCGCCGCCCTCGGTCCACGCCCACTGGCTCCCGCCGGCGAGGAAGGCGAGCCGCTCGACGGAGCGCACCGCTTCCGCGTCGCCCGTGAAGACGTCGCTCGAAGGCACCCACGCCAGCTGCGACGGCCCGACGTCCGCCGCAAACTGGACGACGCGCTCCGCGGCGGCCTCCGGCGAGACGGCGGGCATCATCGGCAGGATCCTGGACAGCCGCACGGCCGGCGCGGCGCAGGCGGGATCGACCACCATGCCGAGAGGGGCGGAGAGGAGGAGCGCGGCGGCGGCGGCGGCGGCCATGTCTGCCGGCGTGCACAGCGGAGAACAGCCAGCGCGGCGCCAGTTAGCGTCGATTTTTCTTTTTTGCTTAGCCCTTTCTCGAGGTTCTCGAGGTGGATATCCTTTGGCCGCGTTGGGTAGCGAGGATTGGTGTGACGCGATCCACGCAGGCGTGTTTTCTGGCGGCCGACCGTCAGTGCACGGAGTTGCCCCTTCTCCGACTGCCCCGGCTAGTTCCCGAGGTCGCGCGGGGCTGACCCCTGCGTCCCCCGAGACCTAGCGCGGGTGGGTTGGAGGGGCCTCAGTTGGAAGGCGCGCAAGCACGCCCTACGTCTTCCCCTCCTCCCCATCGGGCCGCGCGAGCGGCCACGCCTCGCAGATTCGTTTTTCGCGCCTGGGTCAGGCGCGCGGGGGCCGGGGCATCCCCCGGGTCGCTCGACCAGCGATCCGAAGCCCTTTTGCTGGTCATGTGACCAAATCTCGTGCGCAAAACAAACAAATCTTGGGAAGACGGGCCATGGGGGATCGACTGCCGTCGTGTTCCGTGAGCTCGACTCGCAAGTCATGCCGTCGGATACCCGATTGCCGGCAGGATGCCGCCCACAGCGGGGACTTGTTTGGTTCGCTTCTCTTGCGTCGTCGCACACAGGAGGACAGGAGTGTGTACCAGGACTCTGAGACCGTTGCAACGACAGTGCTCACAGCGAGTACCAAGAGCACGAGGCGCAGGGCGCAGGCCTGTCGTGGTGATCGGATATGCCATGGTATGATATCCTAGGCTAAAAAGCACGGCCAAAACGACAAAGGTGACAAACTAAAAATCTCTCTCTCTCTCAAAGGTGAAGAAGGTTGGTTTTCTAAAATCTCTCAAAGGTGGGCCGCCCGGGGCAAAACGGTAAATAAAAGTCGCGCGCGCCGCAAGCGCGCGAAAATGTTGCACATTCTACTCTCCGGCGTGACGGTTCTCGCTCCCCATCGAGCTCTTCTTGCCGTACGGCTCTTCCTGTGCGTGCTGGCACAGAGCTCGACACTGGCTGCGTCACGAACACCTCGCAGCGCCGCCTCAACCTCGTCCAACGGATTGCCTGCGCAAAGACCAAGTACATTGCCGGCATCACGCCGCCCAATGTCGCGTGCGAGGCTCTCGAGTTTGCGCACAACCGCATCCGCAAGTCCTTTGAGGGCATTGCTCGCGCCGACGCCTCGCCCCAGGCGCTCCGCGACCTCGCGTGGCTCCAGGCGCAGCTGCCGACCGAGATGGGCGGGTGCAACATCGACACCGCCTTCACGCTACCTTTACAACAAGGCCCACCACCGGCGGCCCCACGACGGCGTCCTCGCCGCCTGGGCGGACGCGATGCGCGCCCCGGCCAACGCGCCGGTCGTGCACGGCGACAAGGAGAAACCAGAGCTCACCCGGCAGTACAACGAGGGGTACAAGACTGACCTCGCAGAACCCCATGCGGGACCGGGGGGGTGCGATGAAGTGAATGAAATCAAGCTCTGGACGCCCCTCCTCAAGACCTCCTCGCCGGGCGTTGGCAACGCCTCGAGTGGCGGCACGCGCCCGCCTCCGTTGGCCACTCCTACGCCTTCGGCAACACCGAGGAGAAGGCCCGCCGCCTAAACATGGGCTGCAAGGCGCGCGGGCAGCCCGGCCAACCCTTCGACCACAAGAGTGGCCACGGCTACGTCAAGGGGCATCGTGGTCTCTACCACGACGCGATCTTTGTCAAGCGCAACAACTTCAACCTGCTGCTCCACGAGACGTTCGGCGGCGGCTTCTCGCCCACCGCCGTTCTCAAGCTGCGCCGCCTCGCGCGCAAAGTCGCGCGCGGCAGCGTTGACCGCACGGCCTACTCGCCCAAGTACTCGCTCTCTTTTATGTCCCACCATGCAGAGCGCATCTCTCTCTCTGTTGTGCGAGGCGTGAACCGCGCCATTCGCTCTCACCTGGCAACCCTGTCTGCACGTCTCGCGCGCGCGTGACCAGGGCTCCAGGCCCCAAATTACGTGTGAGTGTTAGAGTTGTTTTGTTGAGCTCCGTGCAAGCCGTCCAACGAACGTGATCGTGACGACGAGTGTATCGCTTTGACGGATCGACCGTACTTGTGACCAAGACTGACATGACGTACACAGTGACACATTAGACGACAGCTCTCCCACCCGGCCGCAAAACGCTCTCGACGAGATCCATAATAAATAAATAAAACGGACACACCAAACAAGGCTCAAGGGGTGGGAGAAGGACAGGGTCCCCACCTGCACGAGCAGGATCTTGTAAGGACGATCAGGGACACAGGGGAACGGGAGCGGGGAGCGCATCGCGACACGGAGGGGGGCTGGGCAGGGTTCACCCACACGACAGGGTCCACAACGGAAGCCGTCCGCAGCTCCGCTTGGAGCACTTGGAGCACTTGGAGTGCAATCATTAGCCTCACATCCAGGGCCGGGGAGCTCAGAAGCGCACCCAGCGGGCCGGATGATCCGTATCGCGGATTTTTTTCTGTGAAGCAATTTTGCCGATGCTCGCCCTGACTTCCTGCTCCGGACCCAGCTTCGCCGCGCCGCTGGCGCCTGCGACGCGCGCGGCGCGCGGCGCGGCCTCGCCGACCATGGGCGTCGAGACCGAGCTTGGGGCGACCGGCCCGCTCGGGTACTGGGATCC